GCATCCCTTCTTGTAGATGGGTGTAACAGTCGATTCTCCCCATGTGTGACGTACGCTTTCAGTTTCCCAGATCTCTCTCTCACAAGAGCTTCACCATCTTTAAAGAGGGCGTGTTGCAGGTCGTCTGATCTAGCCGCCTTGTGGCGTTTCAAAGGTTGGAGTTCCTTTCGGATCTCCTTTTCTGTGGGTGGTTCCGTGAATAGTGACCAAGGTACACTCGTAAGAGAACTGCGTGGGGTGGCTAGTTGAGCTGCGATGTGAAGTGCTCTGTCCAGCATTCCAAACGTCAGTCAAGACTGTATATTAGCGTGCCGTCTACTTCACAGATTGCTTCACTAACACACTATCTTTTAGGACCTGTGGCACAGATGATTTGGAATAGTTGCCGGGTTTTTCCACACCTAGCTGCTGATTCTATCTCCTTTGCACGTAGCGTTCATTAGGCTTTCCGGTCATCTCTCAAACTCTTTGTTAGTTCACGCTTCGGAGAGAGCTGCTGTTCATTATCCTCTCGGTCTGCTGGGATTTCTCGACGCGCTTCAAAAGCGTCTGAGAGAGTTGGGGAAAACCCAGTGATTTAAAACTTGGTGGGTTAGGCCACAACTGTGTAAACTGGCTGAGTGCATTGCGTTTTGAATGGTTGTCCACTGTTGATCTACGCTACTTGGTGGGGCAGTAGTTAGCCTTGCGGCCAACTCGTTTTGATGATCGGTTAGCACAGTCGAGTCAGAAAGCTCGACGACATCAAGCTGTTTGCATCTTATATTTTTGCGGCCAACAAATCGCATGGACAGCTTGAAACATACTAGTGCGTGGTAGGAGTCCAAGTAGGTGGATCAAGGCAGTCTTTCACACATCCTCTCGATCTATAGCTAATAGCTATATGATCAATCTGACTCCACGTCTGAGCCGAGGTGCGGTTTTGGTGTCTGAAGTTCTTGCTGACGAGGAACAGACCGTGTTCTTTTTTTCCATTTAACTGAATTAGAGATGTAATGCTGGAAACGGCCCTCTCCTCGTGTGAGGATGACGGCATAGATTGGTTCCCTGACTGGCAGACTGTCTGGGCTAGTGTATGCAGATGACTTTGTAGTGTTAATTGAGGAACCATGTAAGTTGCAAGCTTTTCTGGATAGCTTGAGTACCAGCGTAGCCGCGTTCGATATGCGTTTGCCATCTTCAGACTGTAAAATGCTGCTACAAGACTGGGTTGGTCCAGCACCCTGGCTCACTCTCACTGGGGAAGTAATAGAGTAAGTGGATGAGTTTTGTTATTTGGACAATTATATATCACGCGGTGAACGCATCACGGATGAGATGTCAGCACGCATACAAAAGGCTCGATTGGCATTTGGCAATTTAAGACATCTGTGATACCGTCGCGTCATCCAGCTGTCTGTGAAAGGTCAAATGTATGCTGCAGCAGTCCTGTGAGTGCTGCTTTACGGTGCAGAGACTTGGCCGTTAAAGGAGCATGATTTTTGGTGAACTGTTCACGAGATAGCCGAAGTAAAGTTAAGTGAGTACTATTTACTCGGAGACCTATTAACCTTTTGTACCATGGGTCTTAAAGTGGGGTTACGATTTTCGCAACAAGCTTGTTTCAAGGATTTTTCGGATGTCAGTCACTGGTAACGAACTTATGTAAAGAATAGTGATTAACTATTCATGTCCCCTTGAGCTTCGTTTACCTCAATAACACCGTTCACGACTAGGACCCTCGATTGTATTACGCAATCGCTCTCTTTCCCCTATTTTTCCACAGGTGACCTTTTCACCTGCCCCGTGGGTGATGTTTGGTGGACCGGTTGCGTGTTGCATTCTCCTCCCAATTTTCTGTCCGATCCGCATGCCATATGCCAGCCTAGTACGAGTTCAGCTCCGGCACTTCCACATTGTGTAAAAGATCCATGGCTATCTTGTTTGATCCGTTGGATGGACGAGGATCAGTCCACTGTGGATTCAATGCTGGACGGGCCGAATTTCCTCCCCGTTTCCGACTTGACAGATCTCCTCGACAGGGACACGGATTCTCGGGATAATTTACCGGAAAATGTGGACCGATTGAGCCCTTGGGATATGCATCCTCCTTATCCCAAATCATCAGACGAGCAGGCAGGTAAGTGTGTGTGTGTGAGAGAGAGAGAGAGAGAGACATTGGCGGCAGATGCTTTCGTGCCCTTTGGCTTATCGCCCCTAATCAAGGTGTTCGATTTACTGTTCTCTATTTACCTTACCGTTCAAAGAGAGATCAGCAGATTAGACTAGTCCTGATTTCTGCCTTTTGCATGTATCAAACTGCCATATTTCATCTTTGTTACTTACACTTAGTAGATCTGCAATACGATATTTCTCCACTCCACTCCATTCCACTATTTTCCGGTTTTTGCACACTCTAGAAGATCGACCCCATTCTGTCTACCCATCGCAGACGCAAATGAGACAAATTTATGGCGTTCCATTTGGAGAACCATATGAAAGCTTGTCCGTGCATAAAAGGGAATACAAGGGGAAATGTCGTCAACTGAACAGTTGGAGCACTCAGACACAAACTCTGTTGGAATGCTTTCAAGAGGTAAGCTCTGCACGCGCATGCATTGACGGGGTGTACTCCAAGTATCTTTGATTGCCTGATTTATACCACACTCCTTTTACCAGGGTATTCTCACCTTGGAGGATACGAAAACCAAAAATGCCTAACTTCGTATGGGTTGACGAATCACGAGAAGCTAAAAGATCCCCACATCAGTCCTTTCAATGCGAGATGTTGGTTTCAGAACATCCTAGTCGCAGTTCGACTAGGGGGTGTACTGTGCATCAGGGCTTTACAAATCTCGTCTGAAATGCACCGGTTCGATTGATCTGGAACCGTCCCCTTGTGAACTGCGGTCCTCACACACCGTGCCGTTACACTGTCCTTCCACCTTACTCATTCGTGCTTATTTTGTCCTTGTTGAAAGCTGGTCTAACGCTGACCAAAGTTCGCTTCACTGTATTTTGTCTTACGAGGATGCGTGTAGAAACAAATTATCTGAAGGAGTGGTTAACTGAAAATTGTCAAGGATAGTCTCACACGGCCTGGGCGGATGCAGAACACTCAGTGAGGGTTGAGATACTTTATTGCCACTTTAACCATGGATCTACAGAAATTGGTAATCGATACTTACACGACAAATGCAAGCGGACTAGGTAACTTGACACCAGCGTACGGACGACTTTAAACGCAGCTGTACGGAATGATACGTAAAATTGTGATACAGTCGAATCGAAATGTAAGCGTAGAGGTATAAACACAGAAAAAGTATGCAGTCATCGATTAAATAGCTGTTCACCTTTGAGATTCTGTCACTATGTTGGTGTAACATACAATGGATATTGCCATTTATAAGTAGACTACTTGAATGTCCGCAGTAGTTAAAGTGCAAATACTGAAACGTTTAAATTCTCTTGCAGAGAATCTGCAATACTTATCCTCATCGTTGGCTTCACACGGAAATCAAGGTCGTTTGTTACTCTTAGTCTTAGCGAGGCGGTTCACCGCTCCAAGTAACAAAAAGATGACCGATTGGGCACTGGACATTTACTAGGTGAGCACCACTTTACTGAATCAATGGTGGGAGGTGGCCAACGACGTCCGACGACATGTTACATTTGATGATTGAGTTTCATCCAAAATTGAAGGAACTATTGTTAATCGCTCAGTTATCTAATAACCTTATTGACTTTTCCGATATCCTTTTAAATTAGCTTTTTGAAGTCTTTCCCGATTGTCGAAATTTTGATCAACCTCAACAGTCTTGGACTTTCTATCCACGCAGATCACCGAATCGATTTATGTTCCTCATCTTTGTAGATCATGAAACTACCTGTGAGCGAGTTGTTCAGTCACCCGGTCGATTTAGTCTCCTATCCGGACTATTTGTTTGTCAATCCGTATCCGGTTGACTTAACTCTCATTGTCGCTCGTCTCTCGACCGGATTCTATCGGCAACCGGAAGCGGTGCGTTCAGATTTGCAGCACTTGCTGGACAATGCTGTCCGATACAATCGACCGGACAGTGCGGTTGTGCAGCATGCACGTTTGGTGTTCCAGTTGGCCATACGTGCACTGGACGATATTCGGTTCAAGCCGGTATGTGTGTGTATACGCGCGCGCTATTGTAATACTTTGATTCACCCATTTTATGTGATCCTGCTTCTTACTTACCTCCTCCAAAATCAGGAATGCATTTCCCCGAGTTGACCGGTTCTTGATCACTATTCCTGATTATAATTTATTTTTCATTACTTTCTCCGAAAGAATGATTCGGCCCGATGAGCATCTATCTCGATTGCGGCTTTACATCTGCAGTGTTTGGTGATGAGTTTGGTGCACATAATGATCGAATCGCAATTCCACCCCCGGACTTCATAGGTTAAATCTGGGCTTGAGTGTTCCACACTCGAATTCATTGATCTAGGAGGAGGGCCCTCAGATGCAAGCAGAATAATCACCGAACTGGTCACATCAACAGAATTTGGGCGTTTTGTTTTGACGGTTTCTCGCAAGAATTTGCATAAACATTTGTAAACTAGAATACAGCACATTACTGTTTTTCGAATGCATTTCACCGTCTCAGAACCTGGTTTAACGCTCGTTGCAAAAGATTTGTCGGCGTATCGTTGTTTTTCACTATGGCTCAGATTCTTGGAGCTATAGGCAATAGTTGACTGTCGAATGAGAACCCTAGAGTAAAGGGGGAACCCCAAGGAAACTTACTGGTCTAGTCAATTATGCTCCTTGTCACTGTATATATTTTTATTTTCACACAGTACAATAATCGTTATAAAAAGGTCCTTTATTTGCTCGAGGGCATGATACTGTTGGGTCGCCCAGACCAAAACAGGTGCATTTTCTTAGAGAATGCACAACTGGATCCCTCGGCTAATCAAAACCTGACTCGATAGACAACGGGACGGTGTGCCAAAACTGCAATCCACTGAGGGTCGAGGCAATTCGCGGCTGGAAAAAGGTCAAGGGCGATCAAACCAAAATCTAACAAGAGGGTATGAAAACCCTAACCAGGAGTCTGGGTTACATAAGTCTCGTTAGGATCCCTGAATGGGGTCTCGACATCATGATCACCGATGGTTGAAAACATTGAGGGATATGGGTGGTTGTCGCCAACAGTGGTGCTCATGCATCTGCTTATTATTCTTGTAACTTTAGTGTATATTAATTTGCCGTCTTTAACTTGAATTTGCTCTCAATGTTTCAGTCTTCATTCTGCTATTTTATCCAAATGGTAGACCAAAAGACAGCAACCAAAACCGGCGCACGGAAGTGAATGGTTAATCCCATTTCGCCTGTTTGTTTGCAAACGTTTCATCACCAGCCGAGGTGACATCATCCCAAATTGCCAAACTCTGAGAACGGGCGAATTGGAATTCAGTTCACCCGAGCTACGAGAACCGATTTTCAATAATTTGCATAGTTATTGGCTGTAAAAACTGAAACTGAACTGAAAACATCGGATCCTACACCCCTCGGACAGGGTCCAACGTCCAAGGTGTCCAATACACCTCGGTGCCCAACCCAACCGGTGACCACTGCTACAATCGAGAAGATGTGGCTGGGTGTGTTTCGTACGCCTCTTCATGGTTGGTTTGGAATCAGGATTTTTAGCCAATTCCTTTAGATGAATTGGCAGTGGTTCACCGATCCAGATATTGGCTTTTTGTCCTCTCACTTTGGTGGGAAAACACCTCCACTTACGAAAAAGCAGTGAGTAGGGCTTTCTCAGAAGCAGTATCCTTTTCACAACACTTGGTC